GGGAAAGAGGAGGTTTTCAGTGAAGCTCCTCTCTATAGAGTCAGAGGGAGGAAGACGCCAGCGACGGATTCAGAGGCCCCGGAGCCCGCTGCTTGGGACTTGGAAGAACAGGCGTAGGAGTGTTGAACAGGCTCCTGCGGGGGACGAAGGTCCCAGGATGAAAAGTCCAAGAACCACTCTGTCTCACACACACGTGAGAATGTCCCCAAGAGTTAGAACAGGGGTCTCCAGGGTGTTTCTGGGAAACGGACATGTACCTCTAAGGTTTGCCCTAGAGCCGTCATGGTGGGGAGCTGGGGCTGCATTAAATCACTTAGTCAATAAAGCACCTGAGGCCTCTTCCTGTAAGATGCACGCTGGACCATTCGCCGCGGGCACAGAGAGGAGAGGCAGTAACTGCCAAGGAAACGGGCTCTTCCTCCCACCTGTGTATCACGGGGCTCTCAGATGAGATCGTTAGTTTGAGATTTTAAGAGAACACAAGGGAGGGAGGTTATAATGAGTATCAGATCATTTGAAGCATATGGAGTGGGGTTCGTGCCAAGCTCCTGTTGGTCAGGGAACAAATGAGAGCCAGTGCATGTGCTGTCCTTCTCGACGGGAGAAAGGAGTGTGGCCAGGACCGAGGATGAGCCTCATTTTGAACTGTGGGAGCTGAACCCAATTAGTCTAGTTACAGCAGAATTCCAACAGATGTATAAGCTCAATCTCATTCCCTCTCTCATGAGTGCACACACACATGTGCGCACACAGACCCCCCCCCGCCCCAGTAACTTTAATCTAAACTCTCGAGCATTTTGTTTCCCTCTTGGACCATTTCAATAATAGGTCCTCAAAGGGATTCAGAAGACACCATCCTCACTTCCAGATTTGCCCACTCAATGTCTGACCCTTCAGCCCAGCCAGCTCTCCTGTTAGCCTTCCTGGCACATAAAGGCTGTTCCACAGAGACTTCCCAGGACCAGTGTCTCTAACTACCCACTCCTGTCAGACTTCCTGCTTCTGGCTGCTCAGCTGACCCATTTCCTTTTCCCTCCAAGGTGTCCAGCCTTCAGATTTCAGCTTGTTTCTAAACACAATCCCCTGGCCTCAGTTTCCCCAAAGCTTTGGATGAGAGGTTCCTCCTCTGGGACCCACCCAGGCCAGGCTAAACGCAGGCCTCACTCCAAGAGGAGTTCCTTCCAGACCAGTGTGCACAGCGGAGCCACACAGGGGGTTGTCAGTACTCCGTCCTGCTTTCCTCTTACAAATGCAAGCACGTTAGAGCTTGCGTCCCAGGCCCGGGCTCTGAAAAGCTGACCACACACACCATCAGCAAGCTCCCCAAGGGAAGCGCTCCAGGGGAAAAGGTAACTTGGGGGAACAGATCTCAGGGCGGCAGGAAGGAGCTGCTGGGGACAAAGGCCACCGGCTGCCAGGAGCTGACACTGGGTGGGGGGG